CATAGGAAAGATAGGATTTCAGGAAGGGATGATCATCAGCAAGATGAGAACAGAGGAGCACCTGGGAACTGGAGAGCAGCGAAGAGCATCTGAGCAAGGGTTCACATTGGAAAGGGAGCGGCCCAGCTACAGGCCAGGTCAGTGGGAGGAAGGTGAAGACAGGGACAAGAAATGAGAGCAGGCTGGGGCTGCAGCCAGACAGGAAACACGAGACGCTCACATTTGACAAAGGATGAAGGAAAGCAGAAATGATGTAGGGCGAAAGAATTGTTCCTAGGATAGAAATTACACAAGAGTTCCACTTCTGACTTCCATCCACTTCACTCTGCCTCGGAATTCTCATTTCTAAAGGGGCTCAGTGATAAGCCCTATCATGAAGTACACAAATATTATGCAAAAATAACAAGAAATGGATTGGAAAATGTTCAGTTTGCTTCACATAACTATTTATACGAGGTAAACTTATTCAATCTGTTCAGTTTAGCTTTGATTGCAATTGAAAATGATGGTGGCTGCAAGCTGTTTTTCCAACATTTTTATTCTCTGGTTTCCATGTATTAAAGTATTTACTCAACAGTCACCAATGACCAAGCTGCTACCCTGTACTGGGATTTAGGATTATAAAGAGAAATAAAGCATATTCTCTATTTGCAAGTTGTTCACAGAAGATGTGGAAGACATCCCTTAAAAATAACAAAGAGCCATGAAGTGCTATGATAAAGATATTAACAAAGCATTACTGAGGGGTAGGAGAGGGAGGCCTCCAGCCATTGCCCAAATATACCCCCATCCCTTTGCTTAATTAGTTTACTTTAACTGGAAAGCCCCCTTCACAACGCTGATCCTCAAGCCACATCCCGTGAAATGTTGATCATTCTTCAAATCCGAGGTCGAATGGCTTTAACATTTGAAATTAATCTTTCCATTCTCTGTGCTTCTATAACACTTTATTTGTATTTCTGTTTACCCTAATTAGTTTTTAAAAACAATATGTATAGTGAAGGGGGGAGGGGGGGGAGAGAGAGAGAGAGAGAGAGAGAGTGTGTGTGTGTGTGTGTGTGTGTGTGTGTGTGTGTGTCATTAGGTTATAAGCTTCTTTGATAGCAGGGAGGCCTAATGCATCTTTGGGTCTCCCACAGGCCTGAGCCTGGAGGCTTCTTAAATTGTACTTAAGGCCTGTTCATTCAGAACAACTAATCTACAGTCCATTTTAGGTTGCTAAAGTGAGACTACACTGCTTCATTCTGGCAACTGTGAGTCCTTGTTAGCACATGCCAATACTAATTGCTTGTTTTGAGGAGGCATAAAAGAAATGGCCCTTTGACCTAAAATAACCCAATCATTCTTCCCATCTCTTTCTACATGTGGACAAAGAAGGCAAAAAACAGACTGATGACAATGACAACAACAACAACAACAACAACAACAAAAACCCCTCAAATTAATTAAAGAATTTTCAATTTGAAAAACACTTTATATTTCATTTAATTCAACACTTTAATTACAAATGAGGAAATTAAGTCCCAAGAGATTTAGATACCTTCTTTGATATCACACAGACAGAATCATCAATATCAAATTTTGAGAGTCTTATTAAGTTCAAGGCTCTTTCTAATACAAAATAGTTTATCTTTAATAAAAAGAAGAGGAAAAGCATGCTTAAAAAAATAGCACTGAATATACAGAGAAATTCACTGAAAAGCTATGTGCATGATAGGAAAAAAAGCCCCTACCAGTTAATTTGTGCATTAAGAATATCATGCTTTCACTAACATTAGCAAAAATGTTTGTAGAGTTTGAAGCTTTAATTTAAAAATCTGCTGCAATTTCCAGTCCTTTACTCTTAGGGTCTCTAATAGTTCTATGCAGTTGGCCATGAAACATGTTTGGGTGATACTGGTCATTAACAGGTGTCCTTAGCTGTTGTGGAAGTAAAACTAATACATCAAGGCTTTGCGGAGAGGTGCATACTCACACATTCTCTCCCATCACGATGTAGGCAAACGCAGCAGATGTACTCAAATCTGACATAGTTTATACTGGACCCAGGTTTGCTATTACTTCCAGAACGTCTGCCCCTTCCCTGTCCGTTCCCATGTCACTGCTTCCCCAGCCCCATCCTGACAGACCTGACACTATCTTACAGATGCCCTGGGTTGCACATGCGAGCATATACTTGTGCACAAAATAGGTTTAAGCACTAAAATTAAAACTTACTGGGTTCAAATTCTAAAATTTGATTTAGTGTTCCAATTGTAAACAAGGAAATATATATGACTATACAGGGGCCGGCAAAATAGGTTTACAGTTATAAGACAAATAAAGAATATCATAATAATACAAAAATAAACTGTTTCACACACTCACAACTGTAAATCTACTTTTTTGAAGATATGTAATATATACTCATGTATATCTATCCATCTATCTCTTCACAGTGATATTTAACCACTCAGATAAAAACCACTTAGTTTTGGGGAGAAGGGGAGGTAGAAGAGGATATAGGAGGAATAAATGGTGATGGAATGAGACTTGACGCTGAGTGGTAAAACACACAATACAATATACAAATGATGAAAAATAGACTTGTACACCTCAAGCTATATAATTTTATTAACCAATGTCACCCCGATAAATTCAATAAAAATGTAAGAAAAGAGAGCACTTAGTTAAAACAAATTATTTAATTTGCTGTAGAGGATAGTCTCTGAAAACTGGTTTTCAATTAGAGACTACTCCCCCTTACCCATACACCGCTGTTCTGTATTTCCCAAGGTCCCCTTAAGGGCACAAGGACAGTGTGTGGGTTTTGGAGCTACATGGAGGCTTAAATATTAGTTCTGCTATTTACTATTTGAGAACATTATTTAACCTCACTGAACAATAATTTCCTTATTTCCAAAATGAGGATATTAATACCTGTCTTGGAGATATAAGGATTTGAGCTAATGTATGCCAGTGAGTGCTGCGTGGTTGTGCTCAGTAAATAATAGCTATAATACAGGTGAAGAGGAGGGGGAAGAAGAAGAGAGGAAGGGGTAGGAAGACAGTAGCCTCTCCTACGTGAAACCTGTATTTCTTAGCAAGGCTTGGCAGAACTTAACTGCTGGCATTTAGCCAGGGAATATTACGCTTGAGGTAAGGGAAAGGAAACTACTGATGGGGCAGGGGTGTGACAGGGTTGGCTAGCACTTCATATGTAAGTTTCCCGTCCTGAGTTTATATATACATATACTTCCACTGCTGGGAAAAGGGCATTTACAGCAATGAATTCAGCGTCTCTTGAAAAGTAAACGCCTTTTTTTTCCTCTTTTTTTTCTTAGAAAGACCAGACTTTAATAAGCAGAGTGAACAAATTCCTGTGTCCTACCTGGTGGTTAATCATTGAATTTCCAGTTACAGCACCAGGTCCTGGCTGTTGGCAACCCCTAGCAATTCTAGTTATTGTGAGATACCCTATAGATTGCAGAGCAAATGTCTGGCTCCTTTCTAGAGTCCTGGCCAAGCCACAGCCACAGCTGCTGCTGTGGTCTGAACTGTCCAAAGTACAACAGGAAGGAGGAAGTCCCAACCTACTTTGGACATGCCCTGAATGACAGAGCCATTTAGGGCCTGCCTAAGATGCCATTCTGTTTGCAAGCACACAGTACCTACCTGCCATATCATTTGACAAAACAATCCATCAGAATGCCTGATGACAAATGACATGTTCAAAGAGGCCTGTGCATCATTCCAGTGATGACTCCACAGGAATCAATTAAACAAGCAAAAGACCTGTTCTAAGCATGGTCATCTGGCATTTCCCAAGGAGCTGTAGTCAATGGCTGATAAAGCACAAGTGGTCATAACTATAAAGATTTAGCAGCCCTCTTTTGTTCAAAAGCAGCAAGACCTTATGAGGACAATGAGCCTGGAAGACCTCCAAAATTAGAGGTAAGAAAAAGGCTGCATCTGAAGCCAGCACTGCTCTTCCTCATGCATAAGGGGTTGCATGAGGTCATCTTTTAGCCACTACAAAGGCAGACTGTTTGCAGGAATGCTCCGAGTTTGTCTGGTAGTCTAGGGGAGAAGTCAGTTGTTATGTTTCCAGGTGAGAGGAAGGATTGGCAGTAGTCCATCCTCTGCTTCTAGGAGTGCTTTCCAAGTACCAGCATCTAGGATTTTGTCCAGCACACGAGGCCAAGATCACTGTAGTCCAAATGTCCTTCCCTAGAAACCATGTTTTTACTAGCTTTTGAGTGGATGGAAGAGGACCATTTAACAAATCTAATGAGAATGATGTCAAGCTGTAAAACCTCCAGGAGAGAGAAGGTAGCTGGAGCAGAAATGCTTTTCAAGGTTGCGGTTCAAGACCAGCCAGGCAGACACCTGTATATATAGAAAAAGCTTCAAACACCATCACCTCATCACACCTAATGACTGCCTGTGACAAGCACTTGCATTCTCTATTTCTGGCTTTTCTAACAACAAAAACTGGGGTTTTATACTCAGTCCTGGTTCGGAACATATTCTTTAATGCTGATCTGGTTTTTTTTTCCCCTTCAATATGCAAGGTCAGATAAGTTAGAACTGAAATACTTTTCAGTTTTAATTTTGATCCAGGTCTAAAATTGTTAATGACTTTATATTCCTTACCCTTTATCTGTAAGTGATTTAAGTTAATGCACCGCTCACATACCCTGGCCCCAACATTAAGAGTAATATTCTTAGAATAAGGCTATTAAGTAAAAAACAAACAAAAACAAAAAGACACAAACAATAAAAGAAAAATGGTGCTTCCGTTCTCCTGAGTCCCCCTTTCCAACCATGCAGTGTACTTAAATCTCTTTACAGCGGCTGCTCCGGTGTTAAATAAAGTTTTTGGTTTGGAAATAAAAAGAGGTTTAGTTCAGGTCACTGACAGTTATTTTCTCAGCACAATAGAAAAGCAACCCGACCCATTAACAACACTATAATGGCAGAAGCAAAGACAGTGGGAACAAGTAGGAATAGAAGAATACCTGGGATTGCCAGATGGGAAAGGGGGACGTTGTGGAGGTGAGGGGGCAGTGAGGCCATCCAGTCAGCATTGCAGACCTCCGATGATGTCTTTGTCCCGCTGGGGTTGGGGGAACAGATGCTCCCCATCCTGAGTTTCCTTCTTACCTTCCTAACTGCTAGCATCCCTCTCTGTCAGTCAACAAACTGCCCAGGCTCAGTCCAGTGCCACTCACTCAGTGATCATCATTGCCCGGGCTCTCTAGACATTTCAGGGCCTCCTTCTGTCACGCCGGTCTTGCCAAAAGGCCTTTCTGCCTGGGAAGACTGGGAAAATAGGTGGTTTTCTGTCCCCTTCAGAACCCGCAGTCCCCACCCTCTCCGGCCGGCCGCCGTTCCGCTCCCTTAAGCTGCTCAGTCCCAGCTCCGTTAAACTTCTTACGTTCCCCTCTGGAGCTCGGAGAAGGTAGGCCCTAGAGATAAATCTTACAGTACTGAACGTCCAAAGACCAGCCACGCCCAGAGCCACTCTTAAGACAGGTGCCTACACAGCATATAGACAAGCCGGTGGGTCTATACACACGTGAGGGCCGGGGCGCGCCATCATCAGTCTGATTTAGGCTTCTAGGTATGTCACTGGGCTGGCACGTAAGCTGGGCCTGCCTCCTATCCTTCCTCTGGCTTCTCCGCACACACTTCCCCTGACCCGTGCTTCCTGAAGGCGCCCAGAAGTGTAACCCGCGGCTCTCGGACTGCCGGCAGCCCCGCCCCTCACTGCCGGGCAGATTTGCCGGGCTAGGAGGCCCGTGATTGGCCACTGGCGGGGCGCGCTCCGATTGGCCCGCGCCCTCTGCCAGCGGCTCCCGCCCCTCCCCTTCACTGCCCGAGTCCCCTCCCTCCGTTACTCCTGCCTCGCTGAACGCCGACGGACGCCGCCGCGGGACTGCAGGCAGGAAAACGCGCAGCCTGGAAAACGCGCAGCCTGGAAAACGCGCAGCCTGGAAAACGCGCAGCCTGGAAAACGCGCAGCCTGGCAGGAGTTGGAGCTCAGACAGATCTTCTTTCCTCAGGCTTTCGTGCAACTCACACTAGATGTTAAACGTGACCATAAATGTTTGTTTGGCCTCCACACGCGCGCAAATACACACACGCAATGACAATTACACAGAAAGTATTACTTTTACAATAAACCACAATGGCAACAGAGATACAAGAGGTGAAGAGGCTGAGAAAGGTGCTATATTTTATAGTTGGATGACAACGTCAAGAATGGTTTGTGTTTCAACAATTATATAATTAAGATTCACCTACACACCACTTGTCCCCATTTTACAGGAGGAAATAGTGATACTTTACATTTGCATTGCCCTGCTTTTTTTTTTAAACTTCTTCCAAATTCTTTGGCCCATTTGCTCTTCACAGTAGGCCCATGAGGCAGAGACGGTTGCTGGTATGATCTCTTTTTCAAAGATGAAATGGAAATCTGGGGACATTCAGGGAGCAGTTCATGTGGTAGCACTGTTTTGAAATCCCATTTTGGAATGAGGCTTGTAGGCGCTCAAACTTATTTCCCCGCTTTTTGCAAAGTTCCGTACTCCTTCAAATGGTACTTTTTTAAGGTGGTAAACTATAGGATATCTCATGATGTGAGAGTTTTGTAGGCTGAAAATCGTAAGAACATCTTGGGAAACTGGCAAATCACAAAGACTCTCTGCCTTGAGGGTCCTGGAGGGCTTCAGGCCACGCTACTCTCCGTGACTCAGCAGAGCCTTGCAGGAGGAAGAAACAGCAGCTTTTGCTGAGAGGAGACTGAAGGTTCACAAAGAGATCTGTGAGTCAGCTGACATTTAATCACCAAGTGTCCCCACCTCATCTCCAAGGTAATTTCACACCAGGCCCCAGACACCTTTCCATAGGAATAACTGCCCATTGCTCCCTTTGGACATCCTTATTAAAATTTCCTCTTCCAGGCTATTCTTAACATTCATATAAGCCTGCTTTTAAGCCTTTTGAGCTGCATGCTATTGCCAACAGCGCCCCCCTCCCTTTTCTGGATGAGTATCCCTTGGTTAATAAAAAGTGTACACTATTCATAATTTATCTTCTGATGCTTGAAGGGTACTTCTACAGAATGCTCTTTTTTAAAGAATATCACAGGATATTGGGAGTATGCCATTTAGTTGTTTGAGTCAACCTAATTTTTTCCACCCTGGAAAATTACTCTGAAGAAATACCCCAAGATTTACCTTTGAAACTTTCTGGGCTTCCTTTGAACTTAAATTTTTAAATTCCCAAACACAAAACTTTATGGAAGCTGCCCAAGGCAAAGAAAATATGTTCTTTAAGTGCTCCTATGGAATGTCAATTTCAATGCTTTTTTTTTTCTTCCTTGTTTTTCAGCTTTTAATGGAAGGAGTGAGCACATGAAGAAAGTATTAAACTTTAGATTAGAAACAGGACTGCATGAGAACTTGAAAACAGGAGGAATGGAACCATTTCAAAATAAGAAGATCTGTGTCCCTGGCAGCTTTTTCAATAAAAACTACTTTATTTGCCCAAGAAAACAGTTATACTCTCTCCATATATTCTTGTATCAGTCCTAGAAGAAATCTTTTGAATGGAATCACAGAATCTAGCACAGTACATGACATATAGCAGGTGCTCAGTAACTATTTGTTAGAAGGAGGGAGATGCTTGGTAAACAGGCTCTTCTGGGTTCCAGGTAGTACATTGGAACAGTTCTTTTCAAACCTGAAGTGCAAATCAATCAAATCAGTTGTGACTGAATTGGTTTGAGATGGGCACAAGAATCTGCATTTCTAGCAAGCTTCTGGCCTTGCTAGATGCTGCTGCTGCTGGTTCAGACCACACTTTGAGTACAAGACCTTAGAAAGCAGGCTCATGGTTGAAAGTTTGGACTCTCTATTGCTTTTTCTCTCTCTTTTCCAAGGTTTTATAATTTCTTATGTCACTTTTATAATTTAAAAAAATTTGCATTAAAAATTCTAGCAAAGAATCTCTAAGTATTAGGAAATAATTTTTCTCTTATAAAATGTAATAGAAACTAAATTATCAGTGGGATTTTTATACTGTGTCACAGATATTTAGAGAATAAATAATTCTAAAATAAAAATCAAAATTTAGAATTTGATAGTTAATATTTTCTTACATTCTGTATTATGAATTTACCAAAGGAAGAGGCTACTAAACTAAGTATTGAAATCTTAAAAGAAAATCACTTATAATTACTAGTTACACCCGAATGGAGTGTGTATTATTTAAAAAACATTCTGATAGGTGTTAGAAATAGAAGAAAGGTTAAATAAAAGTTGGTATTTAATGAACCTCAGGTAATATATAATCCAGAAAAGAGCCAAATATGTGAATTACAAATTGTAATGGGAAGCTGAGTGAAGGAATAATAGAAGTGCATGTGAAGGCCAATAAAGAGACATACATTTTGGTGGGGGAAGGGCCAAGAATGCATTATTGGAGGAGCTGGCATTCAAGCAAGGTCTGGAAAACTTTCTGCAAATGGAAAATGAGTGCAGGATTCTGGAGTGGGAAAGAGATTTGTAGCTGAGAAAACATAAGCAAAGCTATGACAATCAATAGCAGATGTGAAAGACAGCACATGGAATAAGTGGGAATATAACTCATTTATTCTCATTGAACCTTCATAGGAGCCCAGTGAGTCAGGTACTATTCCTATCATCATTTTACAAAGGACACAGAAGCGCAGAGTCTCCATAACTCTGCCCAGGATTCTACTACTAGTTGGTGGCAGAGATAGGACTACAAATCTCTTGATCACTGTGCCAGTGGCTTTCCGTTATATGTTATATAGTATTATTGTAAACCTGGTAAGGTGGTTTGTGGCCAAAAAATATAAAGAGTTTAGATTTTTTTTTCTATAGACAAAAATGGGTCATTGTAGATTTTGTAGAAGGGGAATAAAATGATTTACATTGTACTTCAGGAAGATAACTCTAACATGCTGAAGAATGGCTGGAGAAATACTGTCTTTCAGGTAAATCATTGAAACAAGTTTTTCAAGCAAGAGAGAAGTGAGAAAGCCTGCAGAAGGTCTGACACACAGAAACTAAATGCATGGCCTTTCTCAAATGGGGAGTGTGCCTCCTCATCCTCCCTTCTCATCTCCAGGGACCTATAATTCTATAGCCTCGGTGGACAGCCTAACTGCCTCTGAAATTATTTTTCATCGCTTGAAAGTCTCATCAATTTGGTCATTCATTTTGTTATATAGAACCCAACATGTTTATATGAATACATCTACAAATTTTGTTTCCTTTTCTGGAATTTTTTCTCCTTTATTTGATCAAGGGCCTCACTGAATTGTTAAAGAGTTTACTGGAGGCTTTGCTGTCTCTTGGAGGCTACATTATATTTTGAAAATGTCTAGGATGGCTCATTTTCTTTGGAATCCTGTCATAAATGAATAGTGATGGCCCCAGAGTAAGCATCTAAACAACTTGCCATTTGGTCATGTCTGGTTGGCAGGGCAAGAAGACCTCGATTTTACCTGATTGAAGGAAACCTAAAAGCCTCAGAGGAAATATATTGACTTAATGAGACTGTGGCTGGGACTGTTTCTGGCCCCCACATCTAATAATACCCTGTACTGCCTGACCACCCAGTCTCTGTGCTAGAGGGGAACAAAAAAGACCTCAAAGACAATCAGAACCTAGGCACGTCTGGTCCAGGGACATTGCGTAGAAGTGAGTGTGGTTATATGATGCTTGAAGTTCCACAGTGATGTGTCATTCACATTTTTTTTTTCCTTGCTAGAGGGTGAAGGGATGGTAAGGGACTGAAATTAGGAGCCAGGTTAATTAAAATCAGGCTGGAATATAAGGCCACTTTGTTTTGTGGCTCATATCAGCAGAGTTTATTTATCGCATCATCCCCAATCTCATTTCTCCAATTCAAGTAAAAAAAACTCTGTGATAAGGATCAGAGTAGAATGAAGAAATGTTGCCAACATGGGTGGTGCTGGGGCATGATGACAGCGGCAGTAATTACCTCCAGGAAGAGTGACATCATTGCAACAACTTGGACATTCAGGAAGCTCCAAGGAAAGGGAGATGGGGAAGCACGCTGACTCTTGCTTCAGACATTCTTCAGACATTCCTGACATCAAGGCAGAGTCAGGAGCCGAGAATTCAGTTATTGTTTTGAATAGAGCTACAGTCAAAGGATTGTGACCATTCGCTGATTATTCTCAGGATAGTGTCTTTGAGAAACTGCAAGAGAGCAGCAGCAGCTTAAGCAGGAGTCACCCGTAGGGGTATCACCTCATGCCCACCTGGTCTCTATGGCCCATAACTAGATTCTGTAGGGAGACAAGTAAACGGCGGCAGTAACTGGCCATGAAACCGTTTCTCCCAGATTTGAAAGCTTGATGTTTAGGAAGGTCTTAAGAGTCTCCCTACCTTTTATATTTATTGTGCATCAATTTTTTTCTGGTATATTTTAAGAAAAAATTTCCTTTAACAACAACATAATGTTACTATAATACTTTTGAGAGGAACGAATAATGACTGATGACTATAAAGTTAGTTTAATGTCCATTTACAGTCATGTGCCACTTAATGACCATATAGTCTTGAGACAGGCAATTTTGTTGTTTTGTGAACATCA